GACGTGGAACAGTGTGCGAAATTACCCGCCGCACCCATGACAGGCGGCAAGCGTGGGGAAGCGCTCCATCCCGAGCGACTCGAGAGGGATCCCCACCGCTTGCCAGTGGCGCGTCACTTGTATCGCGCGCTGCTTGGCCACCCGGGCCACCATCCTCAGGGCGCCTCCCTCCATCCCGAGCAGCGCAGCTGGGTTCACAGCGATTGTAGGAAAATGAAGGGAACACTTGACGGTCGCGGCCTTCCGACTCGCGCCTTCGCCTCACTGGCACTATTGTAGCCCTGGCCGGTGCGCGTGTGAAGTTGAAGTTCCGGAGTGAAAATTCGAACGCGTTCTCTCACGGTGACCAAAAAATGTCCACCTCAGAGGCACCTCCGGAGGCAGGCCGCCGCACGCCGGCGACACAGCTCCAGCTGTCGAACTGACCCGCAGCTCCTCTAAGAGCGGGAACTGTGACGAAAGTTGACTGAGGCGGTTGTCAGGAATCATCATACGGATCACATGGTGGCTCTCTCATGACGGAAGACCGCCCGACCACTCCTGGGTGGCACTGCCACCGGTGTCGCTTGACGTCCTGTCGACAGCGTGCCGACAGCGACACAGACCATGTGGGACGCGTCGAGTATCGACCTCTACTGCTTACCCAGCCTTCGAGTGTATCCTGGTTGTGGTCCCACACCCACTGGTGTCCATCTCAGAGACCGCAGGAGGTCATGAGGGTCGATGGGAGTGCCAACCCCACAATGCCTAAAAAAATGTAAAAACCCACTAAAAACCCAGCCCAGTAGGGGAGTGTCCTCCGGCGCTATTTTTACCGGCGGTGCGCAGATCAAAAAACGGTAAGAGACGCGTGAGTGGTGCAAGACCCGCGCGACGCACAAGCCACAACGAGACCCCGGCGGGAAGCGCGAGCGCGGGGCTTCTGGAGAGACTGCCCACTGACAGTGCCACTCGGAGCCCGCAGTTTGCGAGCGAGACCGGCGACTCCAGCGACCCACTCCACACGAACGTGAGGAGCAGTCACGGCCGGCTCGACGCGACCGATCCTCAGGGTGTGCTTCGGACACGGCATCGAGACGGCATGAGAGAGCGTCCCTGACCGACACTCCACTCCGACAGCACACACAGAGCCCTCCCCCTCCCCGCTCCTCCTCGCGCAGCGGGCGCGGCATAGAAGGGGGCCGCGCCACTCGGCCGAGCCGGGCTCAGCCTTTCCGCGACTTTGCGCTTCTGTAGGCGGGGAAGGGGGAGGGGGAGGGGGAGGGGGTCAGCTCACACGACCTTCACCAACAGTGATTCATGGTCGTTGGTGGCATCTACCGTTCAAGGCCTGTAGACGCGGCAGAAGAGCTATTGTTAATTCATGACTACTTCTCTGCATTAATCATTAATTGGGACCTGTAGACGCGGTAGAAGAGCGTCGCAAAGACGACGCTGGCGGCGGCCCACCCGCTGATGCCCAGCGAGTGGCCGAATGCGAAGTTTGAGATGACCTGGGGTGCGGGGCGCGGTGCGGGTGGGGCGTGAGTGTTTTCAACTTGTGGGCGGAAGGGTGTGGTGCGGGTGGGTGGTGGGGCGTGGTGTGGAGGGGCGGGGACCAGAGGGTAGTCGGGCGGGGCAGCCAGCGGGCGCGCCATGGAGAAGATCTGGCGCGTGGTCATGATGATCGTGAAGGCGACGGGGCCGAAGCGCTTGATTGTGTAAAAGATGAAGAGCTGGCCTGTTAATGATGTCATGCACTAATTCACTGGGCCCGAAGCGCT